GCCCTGTTTTCGTCTCTTGCCCACCGATGCCTTCTTGTTCCATATATATATATATATATATATATATATACACACACACACACACACAATGAAACTGCCTTTCATAAGTTATAACCGTTGTTGTTTACTTTGCCTATATATGTTGTCTTCTGATCAGTATCCATATTAAATAACAGCTTATTTGGTAACTGTTTTATCAGCATTTGTGGAAATCTGCCTTTTATATGGTGTCCAGCTGCAATATATCTGTGCAACCTTTAATATGTTTTCTTACATGGTTTTCCCTTCACAGACAAATATGAGCTTTAAATTTATATGAACTGTATTTTTCAACGTATTTATTCTGATATTTTTCATATAGTGCTGAGGGTGTCATCCTAAAGTCACACATATTGTATCATCCTCACAACACCCCCACATGAAACGTGTTCTCACAGCTACGGTTTTGCTTTATTATAGCATCTTAAACTATTAACGCCTACTGCTGCGCTTATTTATGTAGCATTTTCTTTCTTATCAACCACTCAAAGCCCTTTAGACAACCAGTCTTTTTACCCATATATTTTATTGCATTATAATATAAAACAAAAGCACGTATTTTTAATTCGACCCTAAGTTTGAATCACCAGTTAACCTAATATGCCTGTTTTTAGGAGGAAGCCGGAGTCAACCTTCAGGCACACGGAGAGCATGCTCGGAGAATCCCAACTGGGATTTGAATCAGGAACCTTCTAGCTCTGAGGCAACGTTTGCACCATTGTGCTAAGAACATGCACAGATCAGGCATAAGATTATGACCACCTGTCTAACACTGAGTGGCCCTTTTCAGACTCATTCAAATCCTTACACTTGACAATTTTTTCCTGCTTTTAATGCATCAGCTTTGAGAAGAAGAAAAAAACGTCGACTTGATCCCTAATATAACCCACCCATTAACAGGTGCCATGATGAAGAGATAATCAGTGTTATTCACCCATCAGTGGTCATAATGTTATGCCTGATGCGTGTATTATAGTCTCTTTTCTTCTGGTAGTGTAATTAATGTGCATTTTACAACCTAAATAAATGTACATGACCTTTATGTACAAGACTTTACATATTTATGTTTTTCTTTTTCTAGGGAAATTGAATAGAAACATGCAAAGGATATAATTTTAGAGGTCAAAGCCTCTACTGTGCCGCCATGTAGTTCCTTCATGGCTCATTGCCTTCATCAAGGACTGAGAGCATATGTTTTTCTGAGTTTTTAGAGCGGGCTCCTTGTCTGCTCTGTCAAACATGATGCTTGGCATGAGTTTTTCAGATTCTGATTAAGAGCCTTCAGAGGTTTGGCTGGGCTTCTGCTGGCAGTCACAATGACGGAGCAGCTTGTCATGCACTGGTTCAGAGACACCAGAGCTGGAGCTGTGGGGGATGTTGGGATTGACATGGAGATGCACAAACTGCTGTGGGACTGTCTCATCTCAGCATGAAAACAAAATGTAGCATGTAACTGACAGCGTAACAAGTAATCGGTTCAAGATAAGCACGGCACACTTATTCTTAAACCAGAAACAACTCCTTAAGTCTGACTTAGACTAAAAATTACATATACCTTTTTTGGATATGAGAAGTCAGGATGTCTCTTAGGATGAATTCAAAGATAGTACAGGGATAAAGAGAGCTTTTTCAAGCTGATACCTGGAATCATAGCAGGTCAGATAATAAAACCATATTAATTTATTACAAGAATATTAATAATTTTGATGTGAGAAGGGAATTAAGCAGCTTACACACATAAAAATGTAAAGAAATGCCTGCTCAGTCACACCTTGTGCAAGTACTGGCAGCGAGATCTACAGGATCATTTGCAGAATTAATTGAGATGACAGAGTCAACAGTTCTGTTCCCAGGTGCAGGGTAAAATGAACATGCCCAGACAGAAACAGACACATACAGGGAAATGTGCAATAGCTTTGCATTTTACTCTGTGACAGCACAATCTGAACAAACTCTGGGGCATAAAACTCACAATTAATCTCACCTTATTACACACCTTAATCACTCTGTCTTTGATCCTGCACAGCACTGCTGTGATCAGAGACCGAGCTCCAAAATATCGCAGCACACATATTAACCCCGTGGAAAGAAATAAGAGTGACGGGATAGGAAAACCAATGTGATGGCATTTTAAAAATGCTTTTATTTGCATTACTTTACTGGGTATACAAAATGTTTCATTAATTAGCTTTGGGGAGAGCATTCTGAGTGGGCTTCCTGTGTGTCCAGTAGTGTCTCTTAGCCTTCTGCTGACAAATCCAACCTACACTGCCGCATGCAAGATCCATCTGCTCCAAGTCAAAGGTGTCAGCATTTCAGATAACAACACTTAAATTTTACCCTTCAATAATTCAGCAAACTGCACTGTGAGTAAGCCACCAATTCTATCAGCTCATATCAGAGCTATGCAGTTGGTTTAAATAGCATAAAAACTACCTATAGGCTTTATAAAACATGGCATTAACATGGTTTAAAAAGAAAAGCATACATCAACTTCCATTAAAATACTCTATGCATCTAAGGGCATGCACGATACTTCACATTCCATACTGTGTTTATACCTTTGCATGGCTGCCGGGTTAAAAAGTGAAGTCGGGTAAAGAAATTGAGGAATCACCTCTTTCGTCACCTAAAGAAAATAAGATTCGTGCTTTTGTTGTTTTCTTTGTTAATGTAAGACAAAATCTGCAAAATTCTTTACACTGGTTTGATTTGTGAGCATAATCCAGTGACATTATTTAAAAATCATAATGACAGATTTTGACATTAGTTCATCGCTTTGGATCTACGTTAGCTCTCGTCCTAATCCGTTCACACTGTTTATCCTTACCTTATCTTCATCAGACTTTTCACTGCGGTAGAGTCCATAAATCGTATGTTAGCAGTCAACACTCTGTACAAAGATGCCAAATAAAAGCATGTCAGTGCTTGTGCACTCCCATTCATTTGGCAGTTTATTTAGCAGTTTTAAAGAATGGATCGTGATTATAGTCGCATCTTCTGCTTCTGATGTAGAATAAATATAGGCAGTTGTGAAGAAGCCTTAAAACCCTCAGTTTGTTGATAAAGGATGGATCTCCATTTATTGAAGGTCAGTCGTGGTATTTTTGTTGGTAAACCCTCAGAAAGACCTTTGCTTTCCTATTTTCAAGCTTCAGAAATCAGTTGTCTCTTTCATTTTGGCTTTCATAATGTTTGTCATTTCCACCTTCACGCTTCCACCTTTGCCTTTTTCTTTATTACAGGTACAGCAATTGTGACACTCTGAGGTGTTAGTAAATGAGAATTTGGCAGATTTACTGTTTCCCCATTTTTATTCACAAAAAAATCACAGATCTGTATGAATGTTAAACATTTAGCTAGCACAAAATTCATGTCACACAATCACTGACACTGATAAATGCTTATTTTTAATCTTATTTGTTGCTATGCTGAAATTATTCAGCAAGGAAAAACTAATATTCGGCCCATTTATCAAGCTATCTTCATTTATTATCTTTATCTGATGACACGTTATGCAAACTGACATTAAAGCTTTTACTAAACAAAGGAGTTTTCATCTCCTGCTGTCACCCAGCCGCCATTACATTGGCACGTCTGAAGTATTAACAGAACATAAGGGCTGGATGAGCTGTCACTGACCTGACTGAAACTGAGTATGGTGAATAACAAAGGGAAGTTCTAGCTAGATGCTGCCCTGCCTCTTGTTCATCACCCTCATCAACTTGGAATCAAGCCACAAAATCCATTCTCTGAAAATGGTGCGATGGAGGTGAAGTGGCACAACACAGAATCAGCTGTTGTAATTGAGCAAACTGATGATAGAGCTATACAGCTGAGAGGGGTAATTGTGTGCAGCACACAGAGAATGACTAAGACATTGAACAATTTTACTTCAGAGACCCAATTTTCCCTGTCCTTGAAACTGATAACGTTTGGAGAGAGAGAGAGGTAACAGTCAGCTGTCAGGATTATTGGGGCTGAGGGGGAGGACATCTGAAGATGATAAGAGAGAGCTGGCAGAGGAAAAACATGAACTCTATAAAACCTGTATGGTAAACACATGAAGAGATGCAGGCAGAGGCAGCTTTTTTAGGTTGATGTGTTTCATCTTGTCCCTGCCACTGTCTCCGAACTTGCTGCGCAGAGTTTTGGCCAAAACATGCCTGATTGAAGTTTGCCCATTCACAGCAATCTATGTGTGCAAAGCGGCAAAAGTTATTTAATGACATTAATATTTATATTTACTCACTCACCAAAATAAAACTATTTTTAACAAATGTATTTTGCCTTCAGGGTTCACTTAAGCATGACTCCTAATGGATAAAGGAAAGACTAAACTGTGAAGCGCTTCACGAGCACATATTCAACTTGCCAAAATGTCTTGTTATTTTAATAAAAGCCTGAATCCTGGTAGCGCAAACACTGAATAATTTAAAACTTGATGCTGCATGCGTTAATTTGAAAACTAAAAGAACCCCTGAACTGTGACTGTGCACGTTCCGACAAACACACGCAAGTACCAAACATTACCAGAACTTAATTACTGCTACAGTTCAATGGGAGGGAGACGACTGAGGTAGTAAAAAAAAATAAGAAAGGAATGAAGTTAGCCCTTGGATATGAAAATATATACCATAAATTACAGGGTCATAAAGTCAAGTTGACACTGCAGGGTGATATATGGCTACATCTGGTGGACACACATTTCCTGAGCTTTACGTTTGAGGTGGAGGTATCGTTTCATGCAGGTCACAGAAAAAAGTAAGCCTCACTTCTCGACATGTTGCACACGCAGCTCTAATACCAAGACACATGGGCACATGTAGCGCACTTCCACTAAGCTGTTTTCATTATTTGTCATCTGTTTCATACAAACATCCAGCTTCTGCATTCGTGAAACCAAGCTGGCATCACGTTTGAAGGCTTCAACTGTCACCACCAAGTCCCTCTCCATAGACCTCTTCCTGGATTTAAGGCAAAAAGCCTTATCTTTCCTCTCTTGTTACTTGACTCTCCAGAGTGTTATGAGAAATGTGAAGAGCACTTGTCAGCGTTCTGTTTGGATGACTAGGACCCCTTAAGTAAACTATTTGCAGCTGGAAGACATGCACGGTGCTGCGAGATCGATCAACTTTAGACCAGACAACAAAAGACGGAGGCTCCGGAAAAGTGCAATCAAACGATGAGTTTTATTATCACAGGAGAACAACCAACCGTCAGCATACGGATTGTTTTGCTCTGACAAGAATACATTGGGTTCTGGTTTTATAGGATAAAATATCACACCTACGTCAATACAGTTCAAAAATACATGGTGACAGACGGGCAAAAGTTCAACCCGTGCAGACAAGGGTACATCACGTACATATAACCTTACACCGACATATAACTTCTCCTTTCTACATTACTTGCCTTTTAAGGTAATAACTTCAGGTCTTAGCATCTCTGAGAGCTAATAATGGACCCTCGTCATTAATCACTAAGTAGAGTACTTTGCAGCCAGTCTCAAACTGAAGCAGAAGACGCTTAGGCCTTCGCTCAGACCTGCTACTAGATTAATATGTGTATCGTAAGCGTGCATGCAATTAACCTGCTATGTTCTCATCTCCCCTCAACATGTATCATCTGGACACTCTCACCAGTGAAGCTTAAAACCTTCTAGAATGGAACATCAAGTCTAACCAAGCACATTTATGCATTGTGTATAAAATGAACTCAACCTATAAAAATAGAAAGGTCAATGTGAAGACAGACATATTCAATGCAATATAAACCCTGTAGGAAATATTACTGATAAATGATACTGTGAAACATGTTATTAATACATTCTTCATAAGGCAGATTATATGGTAGCAATAAAAGAATCTCTGAATCCCAACAACGGCACATGGTTTACATTTTAACATGGGCAGCTATACGCTGAAAAGTGTTAGGTAATGAGCATAAGACTTTACATTTAAAGAAAGAATAGAAAATAATCAATGCTGTTTTCCTATTACAGACTTTATAAGTTGAGGTTACATGAAAAGAGGGAGCTCGTATAAACATTTACCACTCACTGTGGTATTCTTAATTCTTCACTCCTTTTACTTTGGCATGCAGGAATTTAACCTCAAATTTCACAATGTTGTTTTCCAAGTTTTACCAAAGCAAAGAACCCTCTTTATTTGGCATCCCTTGTGAGTTATGAACAGAAGATTAACCTTAACCAAAACTATTTTCCCAACTGATTCCTTCATGTGAATACGATCAGAGGCCCCACCAACTAAACTTAGCTAGTATTTTATGAAAAAAAAAGTTATTTCACATGTTTTTCTTTTCAAGGATGTATTTCAGATTTCTCTTGACAGGATCACAAAAGTGAAAGACCTAGAAGAGATCTGTTTATTTCACTGAAAGCAATAAAGCAACTTCCTGAAGGATCAGATGCAGAGCAGCTGGCAGGAATTTACTTTTTTCCTCAAGGACACTTCAGCGGGGTAGACGATTGCCAGCAAGAGTGCTTGAATGCTGGTGTTCTAGTTGCAGTTGCACTGATGTCACGAAGCCAAACCAAACATTAGCACGAAGACATCAAATAACAGCAGAGCGCTTGCAGCCTTACAAGATCTGAACCCTATTCTTTGCAAAGACTAAGGGGGGCCTCTCAAGACTGTTTCATACTTTTTCATTTGCATGCTTCCTGCAACCACAGCAAGCGGATATTTAAACAAGGCAGCAGTCGGGCTTTAAAAAAATCTCCTGTAAATATTCATTTTCCTTCCCAAACAGATGCCGCCTTGTGTTAATCCAAGATTAGTTGATTCAAGCTGAATTTAGAGTGAATTTCAAAGCAGCATCGAGCTGAAAACTGAGCTGGTAATAACTGTGTCTATCATTGTCTTACATATGTGCTGTCTCACAAGAGTCAAGACATGAAATTTGAGCTGCACATACACGCACACATGCAGACCACAATGCCAAGAAAAACTGAAGACCTGGAGAGGTGGGTTGTGTTTCTGTCAAGTCTGTACAAATACGAGAAAAGACGTACTTTATTTTAGGTAAAAGATGTATTCTCATATTCAAACTATAACTTACGAAAAAGTAGTGGTAGTAGTGTTTCTGCTTTTTACTTATTTAAAAAGATGTACAGAAACATGCCAAAAATGAAGTAAAAGTACTTTTTGTGCAGAATGATCTCGTCATTGCTCTCCTGTTGTGGCACTTGATCAGAGCATCAGTTATGCTTCCTCTTAGTTTTTGTTATATAGTGTCGTGAAAAACTCTTTGCCCTTTCCTGATTTCCTTTTTTGTCACGCTAAAATGTTTCTGATATCAAATGAATGTTAATAAATAAATAAATGAAAATAACCAGACTTAACAGGGAAAAAATATTAAGGGAAAAAATCTATCCAAACCTACCTGGACTTACATGAAAAGTAATAATTGGTTCTGCTATACTTGGCAGCAAAAACTGCAATCAAATATTTTAAATAACTGGCAATGAGTCTTTGGCATCATCATGGAGAAATTTTGGCCGATTCTTCTTCTCTGAATTATTTTAATTCAGCCACACTGGGGTCAGTTTAACATCACAAACCGGTGTCTTTTTTAACACTGGGTCAAGTAGGTTTGGATTGCTTTTTTCCTCTTAGTAAATGAAAACATCTTTTAAAAACTAATTTTAGTTTTATTTTGGCTATTTTTGTCTAATATTAATTTTTTTGATGATTCGAAACATATGAGACTAACAAATATGAAAAAAACTAATAAATAAGCAATATATATAACAAACATTTGGTGTATACCACTCACTGTGATTTGGTATCTGACAAAAGCTCAGGCTAGAGTGTTCAACCTATGTATGATGTCTATATGAGGAAGTGTCCTTTATATGGGCATCTTGGACACACATTTGTGACTGTTCAACCCTTCTGTGTGTAATGGATAGCCAATCAGAAGAAGGCTTAGTTATAGTAGAGGAGCCAAACGAGCTTCAGACAAAGAATGAACTGTGGGGCTACACCAAAATCAAGTATAAGATAAATAAGGACTTCTGCAACTGTAAATAAATATTTGGAGACTCCTCAAGTACTTGAGCAATTGAGTAAATGTACTTGCTTTTCACTACTTGATTTGGTAAAGTACTAACATATGTTACATACTAGATAACTAGCAGCTAATCAGAAGGGCACTTATTGCAGAAAGTGTGATAGATGATTAGTTTTTAAGTCTTTTTGCCTTTAAGGGGAGCTCTGAACATCACAAATGGGATGAGCGAAAAGATGCTTCACTGCAAAAATGTCCCACAGACCTGTAAACATGCATTCAAATGATTGGAGCTGATGTTTTATTTATTTTACCGTCTTCTTACTTTACAAACAGTTTTCATTGTGTTTTAGGCTGACAAGAAACTCACAGAAGACCACATGGAGAGGGATTTATGAGAAAGACTTTTGTGGAACAGCCAGAGTAACACTGAACACTGGAATGGAAAAAGTGAATCAGTCATGCAGTGAAATCCCTGACAGAAAAAAAATTGTCACTGAATAAAGAGAAGCTTGATTCAATTAAATGTTTCACAACTAGTAAATGAATGAGAACGGGTATTTAAAATGACAAACTCTTTTTCACACAACTGCAAGGTTGGAATTAATTAGTTTGTGGCTTTGCTGTTTATTTTAACAGACAAGCATGATTGTGCCTGACGATATGATACGTTTTATATTAGTACCTGTGGGAAAACACTAGGGTAGCTGCTAGTATGTCTGATAAGATGAAACACATTGCCCTCTAGAGTTAGTTTGCATGCATGCATGCAACTTTCTGGTCGCTTCATGAACTCATAAAAGATGGACAGCATCTGAGGGAGTCTCCTGGGGTCAACAGTTTCTACATCACACAGACAGGAACAGAACAAAATATGGGTAAGTTTGCCACTTCCACAGCCATCCCTAGTCTTATGCATGCTGCAGGAGGGGTCTTTAAAACTTGAATATGCTGTTAGGATACAGTGTCAGCCTTGTTTGTTTGTCCTGATAGTTTCAGTCAGATGAGAAAAAAAAACTGTCCACTTTCGTCTGATTGGCCTATATTTATTTATTGAGCTTTAGTTTTGTTTATATAAGTCTGTAACGTTCTGCCTGTTTGATTATCTACATACATGTAACCTCAGTTAGTTCTCAGTGTCAATATATGCTCATACATTCCTTTAGTCTTTGTTGTCACTTTTCTCATGTGCTACCTTGGTGCTCTGTTTTCCTTGGAACCTGCTCGTTGCTCCTCTCGTTCGCAGCCTAACAAAGATGCTTTTCTGTTGTTGAATCTGCTTCATCCACATCTAATTCTCAGCACATCAGTTGCAGACAGCAACCATGTGTCGCAAGTTTTTGGGAGAATGATTGATATTAACCCAGACATAATTTTTAACTTTAAAATACAATTCAGTGTCAGTGTCTGCCTTAAAAGCCAATCAATGCCCAGCATGTACTGTAATATAACACACTGGTGCTTGGACTCAACGTGACTGGTATTAGGTGATGAAAGTTAAACGTCACTTTGCTTTCACAAAAAGAACCCACATATTTTGTGCCATGATTCAAGGCTACTACTTTTGACACTTGAGAAAAATGCTTAAAAGGATCAAATGTAACTTGCACCGGGACTGGCTGGCACAGGCGTTCACAAGCTGATAATTGAAGTTTGCCGTGCAGTGCTGTCCTGAGTCTTTCTGTGCTGCTCTGTTTGAAACAAGTCTTTAGGCAGCTATGGAGTATTGGTCATGTTAAAAAATGAATTTTCAAATAATAGTTATTACTTAATTTCCATAAATTACTGAGTTTTCAGTCATCCTTTTTCTTGTAAGAAGGAACATATTTTATTATATATATATATATAAATTCGTATTTATTATGAGTTGGAAATTCACACATTGTTCATATATATATATATATATATATATATATATATATATATATATATATATATATATATATATATATATATATAATATATAATATATGTGTGTGTGTGTGTGTGTGTGTGTGTGTGTGTGTGTGGTGTGTGTGTGTGTGTGTGTGTGTATATGATGCCTCAGAGAAATCTGACCAAGCCAAATCTATTCAGGTAGGTGAGCTTAATGTACATCTTAAAAAAACAACAAACACAAAATAACTATATCAAAAACACAGTCAGAGTAAGTTGTGTTAACCCAGTAGCCTTGTTAGCTCCTTCTTCTTTCAAAGAGACACTTTCCCTTCATTGATGGCATCATATAATTCATCAGTGACAGGCTGATAATGTCCAGCACGACTGTTCAGAAAATAAATCTTTTCACTCGAGTTTTGTGGCTTGTATCCTTCCTTCTGCAGCCGTGTCTTCTGAATTTTGAAAGTACCTGTGAACAGGATAAAAAAATATATATATATAGTTTTTATGTAATTTTATAAAATCACATTGCTGTTTGAATGTTTTTTCACTGATGTTCACCTGTAGTGTCAACAGACGGCATGAACCGAAGGAAGACAGGGCGTGCGTAGGAGGGCAAAGCTTTTTGTACACCGATCAAGAATGCATCAAGGTCCAACTGGTTTCCCTCCTGAGCTATTGCTGCCATACCGGCCTTCCCTTCCACACCTGAACACAATAAAACACAGAGTATTCATCAGCTTTTGAGTCTGTTTATTTGCCTGAAATGTGCCGATGAAATAATTCATTTCATCCATACCTGGCACAGACACTCCATAGACGGCAACATCGGTGTGTCCCAGTAGTTTGCTGAGGACTCCCTCCACCTCTGTCGTGGAAACGTTCTCCCCTCGCCAGCGAAAAGTGTCGCCGCTGCGGTCCATGAAATACATGTAGCCATAATCATCCATCACCAGTATATCACCTAAAGCACAGACAGTGACCGAGCAATAAAATAATCATCATTCTGATCGCTGAAAATGAATGACAGTCGTGAAAAAGAACGTATTCACAGGACTGGGAAATACTAAGTATACCTTTACTGCTTCCATATAAAGAAATAAGCAGCAGCCAGATGCTTTTTAATTTTGAAAAAGCCAAAGACTCTACAGGCTTTAGTTAGCATGTTAATTAGATCAATTAAGAGCAAGTATGGCTAATTTGTAAAGGTTACCAAACAGAAAAAACCCTCTTCTCTCTAAAAACAATATGACACAGCTTAGGTTTGCAAAGCTGAATCTGAACAAACCTCAATACTTCTGGAATAATGTCCTTTAAATAAATGAGATCAAAGTAGAGATGTTTGGCTGTAATGCACAGCACCAGTTTTAACTACAATCAGCTGTCAAGTACCATGGTGGAGGGGTGATTTGGGTTTGTTTTGCAATCACCGAGCAAAATCACTGCTCTTTAAGGCCATCTGTCTGACAACTAAAGCTTGGCCAAAGGGCCACCATTCCAAGCACATTATTAAGTCTGAAAAAATCCACAAAAAAAGAAATCAAGGTGTTGTAATGGCCCAGTCAAAATCTAGACCTCAACCTGATTGAAATTCCATTGTGGATGATAGGAGAGCTGTAAACAAACCAATGACCTGAAGCAACTTTGTAAAGAAGAGTCAAAATTCATCCAGAACAATGTGAGAGAATGACAACTCACAAAGCCAGAAAATGACTACTTTCAGTGAGGGTTGAATTCACGATTCACAAACTGCTTGAATGAAAAAAATGACAAGCTTGCTCCTCACAATGCACCATCATCTGGCTTGGAAACTGTCATAGCCAGGGAGCAAACTTTCATTGCGATCAATGATCCTTGACACTAAAGTTGATGTTTGCTCTGTGAAAAAAAACGATGTCTGTGGTGAAATTACAGATGAAGCAGCGAAAGTGTTCCGAATGGGACTTTCACTGCTGAAAATAGCGGCAGTACTGGAAGCAGTCCAGTCGTGTCATGATCATAAATTATTTTCAGTTTTCTTATGAAAACAGAAGCCAATTAAAATGTGTACTGCATGTAAAAACTATAAACAAAGGTAAAAGTTCATATGGCAATTTAGCATCTGCAGCTTTCTTTTTCTGGATACCTGTGAGATGAAGCATGTTCGATATTATAAAACTGGAAATCAAGCAACAGACAGTTCATCATTATTATTCTGACTAACATTAAAGAGACAAAATAAAACATGCCTGAGACATAAGCAGAGTCTCCCATCTTGAACACATTGCGAGCGACTTTCTTTTTGGTGGCATCCTGATCAGCGTAACCGTCGAATCTTCTGAGCGGATCGGTGTTGTTGATGTGTCCCACTAACATGCCTGGCTCTCCTGCAAAGATGAAAGATTATTTTTGCATTTGTTTACAACTTTTTTGTTTGCCTTTTTTCTCTGTATTGTAGCTTTGCATGTATGTGTGTGTGTGCATGGTGTTACCTGGCTCACAGGGTATACAGAGGCCTCGTGAATCCCTCAGTAGTTCCTTGCTATCCTGCTGCACCCTGACCAGTCTGATGGGATAAAAATTTGGTAGGATGCGACTATTGAAGCCACACGCCCCGACCTGGATGTGCAAACATACAGTATAGCAGGTACGTAAAAAAGATGTTGTGTTTTAAATTCTTTAGCTTCCTAAGAAATCAGTAAAACAACATCCAGGTAAGCATACCTTTCCATCTATGTTGAGCAGGCTGCAGTTGCACTCTGTGGCGCCATAAAATTCCCCAATTCTTTGGATTCTAAATCTCTTGACAAACTCTTCCCACACCGAGGGACGGAGTCCATTACCGATGGCAACACGGACCCTGTGACGAGCCTCTGATTTTCCAACAGGCTGGGCCAACAGATAACGGCAGATCTCTCCTATATACTGGATTACCTATGTGTGCGCACAGACATAGAGGTACAATTACACACTAAAACCGAATCGCAAGTCTTGTTTATAGAACTGGCTCAAGAAAATCAATAGGACATTTGGCCTGTGGCTAGGAACAGTTATTGCACCAGTGTGTACTCACAGTGCAGTTGTGTTTGACACAGTCATCCCAAAAGTGACTGGCTGAGAATTTCCTCCTGATTACAGCAGTCAAACCAAAGAGCAAACACTGGCCTAAACCCATGATGTTCCCTGTAAATATCCACATGAACACATGAGCACATACAACAAGGATTTCTGTGAAGCAAATATATACTTGTAAACGTGTTCTTTCTTTTACATATTGGCAGAAACAGTATCCCTCCTAGTCAACCATGCCAGCCATTTGAACAGTGTTAACACTTGAAAGCATGAAAGGTGAAAAGCTTTTCAAAAGACATTTAGACATTTATTAAAATTTAACTTATGAATATAGCTTGATTTTGCCTTGACAGTTACCAGTAGACCTCTTTTAGACCTCTCATTAAAAGAAAATTGCTCAGTGGGTAAGCCTAAGTCCTTGATTTCGAATTATGTTGAAGTGAAAAACTTTGTAATAACCTAAAGATGATAACATTTGCCCTTTTTTACTGTTACTTTTGAACCAAGTTTAAAGAATTTAAATTTAAAGTTATTCTTGTTTGTAGTTTTTTTTTAACCCATGATGCATTCTATGCTCCCCTGTCATCATGTTTACTGCTCACCTTCATGTTTCAGTCATATGTAGCCTATTTTGTTTACTTTCTTTTTCACACTGAAGATTAATTTTTTTCGTGTTTCTTATTTCACTTTCTGCTTTTTGTTGCTAGCCTGTACCACCTGTACCTCTGCCTGCTTCCTGTCTTCTCTTGGTGTGCGTGTCTGTCCTATGTCAGTTTATTGTCACATTGTCTATTTGTTCAATGTTTTTTTTTATCCTATGTAAAGCGTGTTGAGGCAGCTGTTGTTGGGGGTTTTGTTATGCTGTCGGAGACTGATTGCAAATAGTTGAGCCAACTGGCTGCCCAGAGATTGAGCATGCAACACCCTCAACTTTGGACAACCACTTCTGATTGCAAGACAATTCCACAGGTCAATTGGTGAGGCAACCTGCCTCTGAAAAACTGCCGTCCATCTGCAGTCACTTGCAGACAAATTGGGAAATGTTGCCAATAATCAGTCTCATTAACAAACACAAACAGATTGCTAACAGTGAGTCAGTCTCAGCTGATAAGCGGAGCTTGTCTGCAGCACATCTCATTCAACTGACTGCTGGCTGCTTTTGATCAAGGTTTTCAAGCATCTATGTCATTTTGCAGCTAATCGTTCTGTAGCAACTGAATCACTATTTCTCGAGGAATTTCTGAATTTCTGTTTGAAATCCTTGAGGTTCTGCTGGATTCTGAATAAGTTGTTCACATGACTTTGTTGCCATCGTGATGCTGCAAAGCTGCCTTAAAGACAGCAAATGACTGAAACGACTGGTCCCAGAGTTAGTCACGGACTGCAAGGCAGCCTTTCCAGAGGCAGCGAAATTGCAAGTTCATTGCACACAGTTGCAATAACTTTAGTCACGCTCCAGTCTCCAAACACTGTTGTCCTGAGTGTGACTTTAGGGTTCTTCTTCTTCTGCCCTTTTTGGTATGGATTCATGTTATTTTCTCTTTTGGATTTTGGTATGTTTGGGGATTTTTGTATCGGCCAATAAATAAACTTTTTGTTTATTTTTGCCTTCCTCCACATGCTGCATTTAGCCCAGAAAATAACATCACTAAAAGTCCAGTGAGATGAATGTCTGACTTCAGGAAAAAATGTATTTTTAGTATAACGATAAGATTTGTAAACCTCGAATAGATTTTACCATTTATCAAAGCCAATGGAAGTAAAAATAAGTACTTTTTAAAAATGGGGTAATATATTATGTTAAAATAGACATAATAACATAAGAGCTATGAAGAATGATTCTGATTGTTATTATAATGACATCATGCTTGTAAAGATGTGTAAGCGTGGGAAATCTTACTTTATATTGATTTTAAATGTATTTTGAAAACATGGATGAGAAGAAACAAGGCCTACCTGCAGAATGATAGAGAGGAAGGCAGTTGTAGATGATGTCATCAGGACGTAAGCCAAAAGAATGAAAACCAAAAGCTGCGATGCGGTAATACCTGACAAAAAAGAACAACAAACTAAGTGACAGAAGTCATCATCATTACTTATGTCATTATTTAAAGGATTCTCTTAAAAGTGCAATTTTATGACTGAAATGTCGTAGACATGAAATTCAAAGAGTAAGTTTTATTAACTGTTGATAAAACTGTTTAGGTCCCTCAGTGGACTGCATCACCTTTGCAGATGTTTCCACAGATAAACTTACCGACTGTGCACCACTACAGCTGCCTTTGGCATTCCTGTTGTACCAGAAGTGTAGATGTAGAAAAGCCTGTCTGCAAATACAAAGAGAAGAAGAAATTTCCATATTGCATTCTCAAAACCTTTTGACGGTGTTTCACATGGGTGGCATGCACCGTGACGCTCCCGTCATTCTTTACATATTTTTTTGTTACTCTGTTTTCTCTCCGTCCCATACAGGCTAATCAAGTAAAGACTTGAAGCGTGTCAACATAGGAATGCTAAGCAATAACAAAGACAAAAACAATGCCTTTGTTAAAAATAAGAGAACAAATGCAGAACAATATAAATGATTGAATTGAACATGGCCAGAGTTGTATTTGCATGCATTATATAAAATAAAAGATAAACATTGTTCATAGTCTTGAACTTTGTAGTGACTTGATGATTCTTTCCATTTTTTCCCATTTTTTTGACACACATGTGAGCTAAATTAGAAAAGAAAAAATACGCAAGACAGCCAATTTTGGCAGTCGGCCATGTACTCTAGCAGGCAAAGACTTGCTAAGGACAAGAATGTGTTGCAATCAAATCTTGTAAAATGTCAAATGCAGCATACCCCTACCCACGTGCACAAATTCTACAGAGCCTCACCATTAAACTCTTTCCTTATCTTGTAGGGTGGTGGGTGTGTGGGTGAACGGGCCAGCAGAGAGTCCAAACTCTGAACCTGAAGCTCATCCTTGTCTTCCTGCTTACCAGTGCTGAACAAAACCATCCTGGGCTGCAACATGCTACTCACCTCTGTTACAGCTGGAAGACAATCAAAAGTGTGAAAAATGTAAAGCAGGCAAACCAGCACATGTTTTATTAGCTGTTTTATTCCACCTCTGGTCAAATAAGCTCTGTATTTATCTTATAAATAAAGTATATTTAGTTCCCACCTCCAGTCATCTCCGATCCAAACACCATCGCTCGAGCTCCAGAAACACTGAGACAGTGTAGCAATGACTGCTGTCTAAGGTTGTAGTTGATAAGAGCAGCCTCAACACCTATTATAGCAAAACCCAGCCATAAAGCTGCCATTAAAGGCTGACTTTCCATGTACAAAGCCACCACATCACCCTCAGTCCAGCCCTGAGCCAATGCCCAGTGGGCCACAGCGTGGCATCTCTCCTGTAGCTCTCTAAAACTCCAAACCTGAAATGAAATGAAAATGCAAAATCAGTCATCTTAATTCAGTTTATCCGCTGTTTTAATTAAGGTGCTATGTTTTCTTTCTATTTGTTATTCTTGATGAGACCTCACCTCTCCTGTGGCCTCATATATCAAGGCGGGCTTGTCTGGGTGTTGTGTCACTACCTGGGCAAACAGGGCAGGGATGGTTCTTCGGTTTCGACGATGGTGATACATGGAAATTCTCACTTTAATTATAACAGCCAAACACCTTTTAGACACAAAGAAGAGGAAAGGAGAACGGTGAAGGGCATTTGCAAACAGGAACGGACCAGCATAGAAGCAAATGTGGGACAAGCCCATGCAAACTACCTACTTACATGAGGTCTCTTTTAACAGTATGCAAAGCTATATGAATGTTCTTCCAAGATCCCATATGGACCAAGCACAGCCCTAGCCCCACCAGCAGACTGCAGAGCCAGGGGAAGGAGCGCAGCCACACAGTGCCCAAACCAATGAAGCTCAATATGACACCGATCTTTCGCTCCATGATCTTATCTCTGAGAATACAAACAATGACTTCAGGCACAAAAATCATGAAAATACACTCAACTGAAATCTCAGGAGATGAGGCTTACCTCTTAAAGATTCTAAATTATGATAGTCCAAGAGAAAAAAAATGGATTCAGCAGCAACAGTGTGCTGTGACGAGTTAAATGTCAGCTTCACTGTTAAGTTGAGTAACAGCACCAGAAGCAGCTCACAGAGCTGTCAGATGTTTCCAAAGCCAGAGGTGAAGTGCCTGATAAGAGGCAGCACGCAGCAGAGAGTTGCACAAGTTACAACCCATGCAGTTCCTGCGTCACTGCAGAGCCAGTGTGATTCATTACTCCTGAATCAAAGTGCTGCCGGTCCTGTTTATAAAATCAGAAATGTGTGATTTCATGAGGAAAATTATTTACTGGGTTCATGCATAGGCACGATTTCTTCATCTGAATAACTACAATAGATTACTCACTTACAATCAAGGAAGAGTTTAATCATCAGTATTTATTATTTCCCAGAAAGGCTAATGAGCACCAAGGTTTTAAAAGCAGAGAGAAGTTCAATTTTATTGAATGTGTAGAAGTTATAACATTTGAATCCATTAAGTGTATAGGGCTTTCTTCTAAATCATTACTAAATAGATCATTTTGATTAAAGCAGTTTTCAAAGGAAAATTTAAAAAAAAATCCTTAAAGAATAAAAAAGACTATTTGGATTCACAAGCAGTATAAAAAACTATGGTTTATAAATCATTCCATTCCATGGAAGAATGGATGGATTTGGAATTTACATCAACAGCAACTCAGTGCCAGATAAGCAGAAGAAGATGGATGGATCATGGATCAGGTCCATTCGTGGGGAAAAAGGTGGTGTGTTATTGATTAATGCTAATAAACCACAATCTTCTTTTCAGATGAAATAGAAGCTTTAATAAATCTTATGATGCACATTCTTCAAAGAAAACAGTACCAAATATAAACAGAACAAAGTAAAAAAATAAGTTTATATAACTTACATTCACAATACTACAAAAAAAGCATGTAGCTATTTTCACATTGATATCCATAGCATTGTATGAAAAAAAGGTTTGATGGCCATAAAAGTGCAATCACACTTACCAACCGAAGAACAGGGTAGATGTTAAAACCAACAGCGAGGTGACTTTAATATATTTCGCAGTAAGGATTAAGACAATAAAACAATCGAAATGTTTCCTTATACTAACATCTTTGTCGCTTTTTGTTTTTTCTGTAACTGGAAATATATTAAAAAGTTTATTTTTACTCTCCAGGATCTGTAACTGAGGCTGGTGCACTGTGTGAGTAAAGAGGCGCGGGATCATCATATTTATCATCATGGAAAAGTGCAACAAAATAAACAAATTCAGGTCTGTACAGCTCCCATCGCTTAAGTTTTACAGTAACTAAGAGTGTGTAAAGGCACATTGTGACTGCTCACAGGCTTAAACACAGTTTGCTTGCAGGAAGTTGCAGGCTTATCAGTAGGGTGGGTCTGTTTTTGTGAATTGCCCACTCGCTTTGGGACAGATTTAGAATTTCAAGTTCACAATTTTGAGAATAAAAAGAAAACCCTTGAAATATGCACTTGGGGTGGGGGGGAAAAAAAGCACAGCTCAGTTGTTAATCAAGGGCGAGTCTTTGAAAATAGCCACAAGTATTTTTTTTTTTTAAAAACACTTGCTTTGTTCGTAATCAAAGAAGCAGACATGAACTCCTTGCAAGAACCCACATGGGAACAAGGGGAAACTCATCATTGGTAAGCTGCTTCCGTTGCAGCCTACTGTTAAATAGAGTACATGGAAACAAATATTATCCGACAGTAACAACAAACATTCCCAATCTTATATACAAACAGCCATTTATGCAAAAACAAAAATACAAATATGTAAAACAGAACAGTTTGCATGCTCATTTTTTTCTTGTAGCCTACATAACATGGACTTTATTGTCTGCACTGAAAATAAATACTAACATAATTATATCATTTTTTATGACTTTGAAAGGAATACAGCTTATATTATTACTGTGATATGTTCTGCGTGAACCAATAAGCCACTCGAGCAGCTTCACTTTCACACTCCTGAATAAACACTTTTAATAGCCGGCTTTTTCATGCCTGTGACTGTAATGACTTTTTTTTTTTTAACTCAGTGATAAAAATCTGTCATTACCAGTACGCCTTGAACTACAAAGAGTACTACAGCACACAAACGATGAGGAAAATAACCATATTCAGGAGGTAAATCGGACCTTGCGACCTTGTGAGTAGCAAACGATGCTACTGGATTGAACTGAAATTTGGTCCCATTAACATTACGTTACCTACGAGGAATAACCTGTGCTTAACAGGTCACAATTTCATTTCTTACTGTTTTATGATGTGACACTTTAAAGACAAGCTATAAATGCTTGCTATCAGTACCTAAGAATGACATTTTATTTTGAAATAAAGGATTTTAAGAGGACTTGGATAAAACTAAAAACTATAGTTTAAATGTAAATATCCAGGAACCACTTTATTTCTTTTTTTCCCCAAGTCACCGAGTGTGGGTGAATCTGCCAACAGCCCCCAGCCAGCATTGTGTAGTCATTTAGTGAGTCACTGCTTTTAGACTTCACCGGAATCAAGTTTAAATGAAAAATTGCTGTAGGTGACAAAATAGACTGAATGTGTGATAGTCATTAAGTCTTTGGAGTAAAGCTTGAGCTTGAGCTCTTCATATTTGTGATTCTCCTGTTTGCTGCCCACTCTTTGAACCCTAAAGGGAGACAAACCACACGGTTAGACACAGAGTAATTTAAAGCTAATAATTACACACCCCTAGTAGATTAAAAAGTACCAAAGTGCTACCAGTGAGAAAATGCAGTTCTTTACTTTCCACTACAAAGTGTGCTTGTGACCGATGATGATATCCAGTGGTATTATTGCATGCTTACTTGTGATTGACTGCTGGAGGGATTTGTGGTGCTTAGGTCTGAGTATCTCTTCTTCTGTGACGTGCAGATACAGGAGAGGAAATTGGCATATTCCTCTCTCACCTACAGAGGGCAACAGAACATTAAGAAACAAATCTGTGTTGCAACCTCGCATACTGACACAATCTAGCATGTTTGTCACTGCTTTTGCCCTTTTCACTGATTTTATTTAAATATACATTTTCATGCTGTTTTAATTTCGGTCTTAGCATCATGTCCACATGAAGCTTTACACAAATATACTGTATTCGTACCTGTTTGGACAGCAGACAGTGCATGATGAAGACCAGTGCGCCCTGCAGGCTGTTGAAGATGGTGAAAATGTACGACACCGCAACAGGGGGATCCTCTTGAAACAAGAAGACCCCAGATACCCACATCAGACCCAGAATACACATCTGGGCTACAGCTGTCACAGTGAAAGCTCTGCAGACGGAAAAGAAGGATGGGAAAAACGGTAAGTCAATAAAGATTACCAGAGAATGGTAAAGGTTACACACGGATGACTCAGTTACTACATCAGTGTTTGGAAAGCCCCATTAAAAGTGAAAGAACACAATGAGACATGTGTTCTAGGCAAAGCAGCTACAGAACAGATCATTTTAGTTCACTTTGCTGTCTGCTGAATGTATGTGGAAGCAGAAAAGCCAAAGGCTAATGATAAATATAAAAGAGAGATTAAAAGAGGCACTCTTAAAAAGAAATTTCTGTCAGTTTGCTCTGTATTGGTCCTTTGTTCTATTTATTTATCCAGCCTAGCTGAAGTTACCAACTTAGCCAAGAATCCGTTTAGCAAACAAGAAGATCGAAATGTGAAAAAGAGACTTTTCTTCCACAGACAGAAAGTGTTGGATTATAATTTAATGCCTTCTGACTTTTTCCTCTACTGAAAAAAAACATCTTTCTCTCTTGTTTCTGGCACAAGAAGTTCACTTTCCCAACTCCTTGGACTGAACTACACATCATTCATGATCGACTAGCAAAAAGAACAAGGGATTCTTTTTCTTTTTAACTCTAATGTTTTTTGCAGCTATGAGCGGAGGGTCCATGAGCTAAGTATGAGCCTACTGTAGGTAGACAGGCGAGACAAAATCCATTAACAGGAGCCCATCAGGGAGCTGTCACAACTAAGAAAACATTCCCTCCATTTTTTCCCCCTCACAAAACGTATTCTTTCTATCAAAGCAATTCCCAGTCCCGAAGCTGCCATATTGAATCTATATATTGTACGTTTTATAGTTACACAGTTTGGTCATGCAGTGGAAGGGGTTACACATTCAAATTAATACACAGACTGACTTAATTTTGTGCAGGTTGGAGAGGTCTGGGTTGAGGCTGGCAAACTTCTGGGCAAGTTTCCAGACGGTGATGATAAAGAAGAAGACATTCACAAAGATGACTAAGCACACAGGCCCGAAGAAGCTCCAGACGAAGCCGTCATCCGTGGACAGCCAGCAGCTACGTTTAGGAGTGATAAAACACACATTCACAACAGGATGTTCTTTGCTTCACTGAGATAGATAGCATTAAGTTTATGCAACCTACTGATGTCATTACTATTAAGCAACTGTAGAAACACATGCACAGACAAGGCTTCTCTGGTCATCACTTTTAGTTACTGGAAGACTTACTATTTTTTAGTGCCGTATCCGTTTGCTCTAACGCAGGCGGATATAATGACGATAAACAGAGGCGTCCCGTAGCCCACAGCATATAGGTAGAGGGGCCGCATGGTGGCATTGAACACCAGAACAACCATACGGTACAGCTGCACCCCTTCTAACAGCATCCAGGTGAATACCGCCAGGAAGAAGAAATGGAGCATTGCTGCAACAAACCTGCAGCCACCCTGTAATGTGAAAGGACACAGAAAAAGAACACGTCAGAGAGGAGAAAGCACCGCTCTATCCGCGATCGTACAGCAGTTAGCTGCTTGCAATGTTTATGTGAGTGAGAATTATTCACACAAACATTTTCCATTCTCCAAATGTAATTAAGACCACATGAATAAGTAGCTTAGCAGCATTTTACATCTTTACTGCCAATGTATTAATGGAGCAAAGATGTACATAAACATCAGAAAACACAGCACCACAGCACCAATTCTGCTCAACTCATATGGACAAGGATAACAAAATACACCATTTTAGCATGTAATGCTTCAAGGTCAGACATCATTTTTGCTTATCGGGAACCTTCAGTCATGTGATCTCTCTGAAGGAGAAGAGACTACAAAGTAACTCTTGACAGCTGTGAAAAGCACAAGGTGTGACAAATCAAGCCAACAGCAACACTTTAAGAACACTTTAACAGTGGCCAGGCTCGGCTGTTACTTTGTTGCTGTCAGAGTTAACCACAGATAATTCCTCGGTGCCTGTGGTCTGCTGAATCCCAAAACCGATCAATAGATTAACAGAGAGAGAACTAAAAAGAAGCATCAGGCTAACCAGCAAGCTGCTACCTCGTCTGCATTATTAGGTAATTATCCACTTGCCATAATTATCACAGTTTGTTATCCATGTATCTGTGGAAGCTTATCAGCTCAAGGACACCTTCTCTCAGTGTTGGCAGATGCTCCTGGCAAGGCTGAAATCCTCCCACGGTTTTCTGAGCTCATCATTGTTTACAGTTAGTTTGTATTACTTCCATTTGCAACATATGAGCACTGAAAACAGTCTAATTGTTAATGAGACAAATTATAAGTGGGTTTTTGTACTTTTGAGGTGCTAAAATATCCAAAAAATGGCATTTTACACTTGCTAGGCCAGGTACTGTTCTCTGGTACCATCCTGAGCTGCCACCCTGCCTCAGCAGTACTTCTTCTGGTCTCGTTCAGATACAGGTCTTTTCTCATTATTGCATTGGTTAGTTTATAGCTGAGCTGCTGTAACAAGCCAGTGTGTCTGATCAAAATATATTCTGTTCTTAGTCAGATGAATAAACGACAGCATTAAGAGGTAAACAAGCCTTTGTCTTTTTTTGCAGAGTTGTGATTGTGTAAACTACACAATTCAAACAATCACAGTTCAAACAGTGAAGTGTAATTAAGTGTGACTGCAGTAGGTAATGTCAGCCAACATTATTTCAATTAAAAATTAGTCCTTAATGAATGAAATGGCACTAACTACAACTAAATGGGAATAATCAAGCAAAGCACATGTGGAATAGGTTAGGTTATGGGATAGATTCTGATTCAAACTGAAGTTTTCTTTGCAACAAACTTCCCTGTGCTCATTTTTGTAATTTTCTGCTCCATTCTGAGCCTACTCCAACAATCTGTCCGTGAAAATTTTTCACGGACAGATTATTTTTTTAAAAAGTACATTTTTTTCCCCTTTAGAAAACCCACAAGGGTATTCTGCTTTATCATGTCAGAAAGCGCCATTCGAGATTTATTTCTGCAGGAATGCTCCAGCGTTAAAGTGAGAAAGACTCTGCTTCACAGCAGATACACAGAAAGATTATGTGAAGATATTGCATGACACTATATGACAAACTAGTTAGTTACATTAACTATGATTTGACCCACATTCTCAAGTACAGGCCATTAGCTGCCGTTCCTGGCACAAGATATTGTTGTTACCACGAATGCTGGTGAATTTACATATTCTCCTTAAATAATGTAGAGCATGTTACATGTCACATCCTTTTAGAAACGTACCACAGGTTTAGTTTGAGAAATGCCAGCCAGGAAGATAAGATCAGCTATGAAGAGACAGATGCAGAGGTGCAGGTGGATAGTGGTGCGGGTTCCCTGTATGGAACGGCAGAACTTGAAAGTCAGGATGCAGAGTGTGAGACACAACAGGGAGATGGTCAGTCCTATTTTAGTCACCAGCTCGAGCCCATAGGTGTGCTGGAAGAGAAGACAATAAGTGTGAATGTGAGTGCAGCTGGTTACCAGTAAATAACATTTTGTTGCACATTTCTTTTCAAGATCATAAAATCATTTTACTTATAAATCTATAAAGTAATGCTATTCTAATAGAAAATGATTTGTATTTCATTGAGGTTTAAGTCATGAACACTGATGACCCTTACCCTATGTTTTTAGACCGAGTAATTTTACATTTGTTCTCCCATGTCTTGGGAATTAGGGGACAAGAAAATTTTCAAACTGACATGCATCAGAATTTGTTTTGTTTTTTTATCAAGATATAGCGTTAGGTTTGGGGTCAGGGTCACCGATGAGGTCTTAAACCTTACATGGTTACACTTTTTTAAGATGTTTCTTACCTCGATGGGGTGAAGAGCCATGAGCACTGCAAAGCTGCTCAGATGGTTACATGTACATATGGTGCGTGAGGCATTGGAGTCCTGCTTAGAACAACCATCTGTGGACCAGGCCCCTGTCTCGGTCCAATATGCACAGATGTAACTCACGTTAGTCGATTCCTCTATGTCCTAAAACCAAAACAAACATGTCAAAGACGCGATTTATGTTTTATTTACATCTCTTGTTCTTTTGCTCCTCATGTTTGTTACTGTGAAGCTCAAAAGAAGTAAATGACTGATTTAAAAAAAAAGTGGATGTGACACAGGTGGGATTACCTCAAGATGTCTGAAGGTGATGTTGACAGAGCGGCTCAGTTTCTGAGTCGACGGATTTGAGACCACCACAGACACAACTTTAGAGAAGACCTGGTAGGAGGGGTCCGCTCCGTTTTCTTTAGCTCCTTTGACCATCTCGAAAGACCTGTTCACAGAGCTTTCAAGGTTTTTGTAGCTCAACAATGCAGCCACAGCAAAACCTGTAAATGATCCACAGAATATTAGAATATTATAAACTTATTATGACTTGAACTGGACAGAAAAGAACTGATATTTACCAGGATATTTTCCCGTCCCGGCTGCTGTTGTCCAGTCTGTGTCCAGATAAGCATATTCACTGGACAGACGAATGTCTCCAGTTGGTCGGGTCGTTCCTCTTTGAACAGCAATCTGTGCATCTATTCAAGAAAATCACTCTTTTCAAATCATAACACACTTTGCATCCTAACTATTAGTTCCCAAGATGGAAATCATCAAGTTCATTAATTCAAAAGTGTTACCTATCTTGTTGTTCTCCATCTTAGTGTGGTTGTCTTTTAGCTGAGGCCCAATGAATAAAATCGATTTCTCCACAGCAGTGAGCAGCCCGCTCACACTTTCATCGATGTTCTGGGTTCCAGGAGACAGCATCGCATCAGTCTCTGTGAAAAGTTTCTGTCACAAACGAAAGACACAGAGGGGCGATTGTGAATACTGCGTACGCATTTGCATTTGTTATGAGTGTATGCATACTTGTATCTTTTCCTAACCTCCAGTAGCGCATCTCCATCAAGCTTTACTTTGCTGCCAGTTCCAGACAGGGCCAAACAGCTGTTTCTCATCATGGACATGATGTTTGCCAGGCCCCCGAGCAACTGGGAGACACATAGACAGAGAATAAAGACACTATTCAGCCTGCCCCATTCTAAAGTTCATGTATTTTGAACCTTGCGGGGCCATAGGGTCGTCTAGAGGAGCAGGTCCTACGTGATGTGCCAAAGCAAACTGGTGTACTTGTGTGCGAATCCAGGTGTGCTATGAGACTTTTTGCCAGCCAGATGTTATTGTCAGAATAAATAAGTAACTTTGAAACACCTGATAAACAGAATTTGAGCTAGATGTATTATCTATTTTTGAACTATAACTGGCTTTATATCTGTGATTGTTCCATTATGTTGATAATGATCATAATTTTATTTCCACACTTACCTGTGTTGGCTTTTTCTCAGCACGGAAGTTATCACAATCGAGTTCTAGACAAAACAAAGCATTAGGTTATCACCACACCGGCTGACTGGGATTCTTGCCTCCACCATGAAAAGAGTGTGTGATAAAAAATCTCACAGTAAAGGAACAAAACTATGCAATGTGCTGGAAGACAAGCCACAATCTAGATTCTTGAACTGATAAGTTCATACAGAAAGTAGATAGAGTGTTGAGTAAGCCCTGATATCAAAAACGAAACTGAGTCCCAAAAGATAAAAGAAAGCAAAACCACAAGCTGCATGACTAAGAAGGAAAAAAAAGGGACTTTACTCAGGAAGCGCAGTGGATGAAATTTGGTTTTCTTACTACTTAAACATGGTGGTGTAAAAGATGGTGAAAATATAGTCTGCAACTAATACAGTGACGTCTGTGTCAGGAAAATTGCAAAAATGCAATAAAGGTGTGTTGCCTAATGTGAAGAATATGAGGACATAAAAGCTGTGAAATGCACTCGTTTATAGGAAATAACAAAAAACTGCACACTTACTTGAGCATGGTGTCCTTTCCGCGCTGTAATTGGTGTAGCCATTTGAGCAGTTGCACCAATAACTCCCAATAATATTATTACACACTCCATTGGGTCCACACAGCTCTTCTTTATTTTCACTGTCTGTGCACTCATTAAAATCTGTGTAGGGATATAGAGCAGAGGCATAGGTAATGGCTCATACTCCTCAAAAGTAATAATTTTGATTAGACAGAAACAACTCTGAATATAGGAGGTATTGGTCCGTCCTTCAAAAGAATAAACGTCTCTGAAATGTAGCTACCCGCACAGTCATGTGACTTTTATGATGCTGGTAAAGGGATCTTAAGGAAAGAGTTAAACTTTCCCAGCAAACGGTGTTGTGACATCTTGTCTGGTATTTTTGGATCACTTTGCAAGTAGAACTTGCCCTTTACATTATGACACTGTGTCATAATGTAAAGGGCCTATAAGACTTTTTAAAGATCATATCAGCACTAGCAGAGTTTTTGTAAGCTTTCGTTTTCTCTTGCTGGCTGGATGCTACTGTAAGCCTGATCTCACGCTCTCTCCTATTGGAGACAGATTTGATTTCCTTTTTTTATGTTGAGCTTGTTTGTACTGAGTGGGTGTACAGATAAACACACATGTGAAATGTATGAAATAGTAGAACTTGACGAGAATATTCAAACCCAAATTAGCAAATCTGGGGGAGCATAATTTTAATATATTCAGCTCCATGCGATACCTATGGAAGCCCGTTTTCGCCACTAAAAAAGAAATAGAAAGTATCAATTTTAAGAAAAGTAAACCGAAATTTCGACTTATTTTCTCGAAATATCGAGTTATTTTCTCAAATTTTTGACTTATTAACTACAATTTTTGAGAAAAGTAACTCGAAATTTCAAGTTAGCTCTGTCAATCAGTAATCTACGTGAATGACGTCATTTACTTGTTACCCGGAAGGATATGGCACAGAGGAACGCGCACTAAACAAATTGTGCGCATTCCTCTGCGCAAAATGTAATTAAATTTTGAGTTATTTATACTTTTTTTTCACTGGCAGAAACAGGCTTCCATAGATACCACTATCTGAACCTTGCCGAATAACAGCAGATGGAATGATCAAAACTACACAAACAATTATTCCAGTTGGAACTCGCACTTCAATATTTTGTAGTTTATACAAAGACCATTATTAAAAATTCCAGAATTCTAATTTTGCCTCAGGATATCAGATCTCCTCATCATGATTACTGCTTTTATTCACCACTTTATGTTCCCATAAATAAGAAAATCGTGTATATTTTAATATTTGCTTTTACTTCACTATTCACCATGACTTAAAAACACTTTTATCATTGTGATTTTTCAAAAAACTAAACAAGAAATGATCACTTATTCCTATTTGTGTTCAATAATCTACAGCAGAAACAAATCACCCCACATTCAACAATTTTAATCCATTTAAAACTTTCCAAATCTCCATACACAGCACAGTTATTAATTTAACTTAAGAAGCTTCTTCAAAAATGTAAAATGTAAAACATCAATAAATAAAATATCTTCATGGAACCACACCTGTACAACCATACAGGTAATACCATCTGGTTAAACAACTATAACTGAGTTTCATTAGATAATCCCAGATCTCTAGCTTTAGCAAACAAACTATAGTGAGCTTTCCAAGCCTGATATCTGGAAAAAAAACCCATACTGTAAACAATGGTAAGAGCAGACTGGAAAAGGGCATGTCACACACACTTACCTATGCACTGTCCCTCTGTGAAGTTAGCCTTTTTTGAACTGTGAATGAATCCGTGTTGGCACTGACAGTAGTAGCTGCCAATTGTGTTAATGCAGCTTGAATGACTCCCACATATAGATGAATTACCTATACACTCATTTGTATCTGTAGATTTCAATACAAAATCATAAAGCATACCCATCAACAGATAACAAAACACAAGATTAGGGTATCAGGCCAATCAGTCAATTACGCTCCGTTTAGCCTAATTTTACTCTTCTTGGAACAGCACCACTCAACTTGAACTGATGACACTACGTACAAAAAAACCACCATTCATCTTTACAGCTGCTTCATTGCTGTTGCTACTAACACTGAGATGGACAAATAGCAGTTGTATCTCCCAATTAATTTTTAAGCTTGTGAGAGCAGTTTTTGACATTATTATTGTGGTCACTAATCTCTGTAAACAATGGTAAGAGCAGACTGGAGAAATGTATGTCAAACACACTTACCTATGCACTGTCCCTGTGTGAAGTTAACATATTTTGAACTGTGAATGAATCCATGCAGGCACTGACAGTAGTAGCTGCCAATTGTGTTAATGCATCTTGAATGACTCCCACATCGCGATGGATTTTCTGAACACTCATCAACATCTGTAGATTTAAATACAAAATGAAAACACATAACCATGAGTAGATAGTAAAAAATAATATTCAAGTTTTTATTTTATTTATTTTTTTTACAAATGAAAAAATATCATTTCAGTTTAAAGCAAACTTGGTAGTTATCTTATTAGATTATTTTATTTGTGTCATATTTCTTTAATTAGCTGCTAGTATTTGAAATGATCTAACAATTTCAAACTCCTCTACTGTTGTTTCAAATTGAATCCTTCCTGGGCGTGAGCTAAAAGTCCTAAAATGGGAAAAAATAAAGAAGAACGTCATTAAGAAAGGCCACTTTCCTATTAAACTATGCTAAGAGTCCTTGCATAATGGTAATGCCATGTTTGTCTGAGAGTTCTTGTTTTGAGAAACGGCGCACAGAAGCAAGAAAATGTCAAAGAAAAGTCAAAACGATAGGTAATGACAGATTTACCGGTGCAGTCTTTGATAGTTTTGCTGTAGCTCAAGCCAATTCTACACCCCAGAACATGATTTCCCAGTGCACATGCTAGCCCTGTGGAGAAAAAGCAAAAGAAAGAAATGTGATTAAATTACAATCATATTGGAAATCCATCTTCTGATATAAAGAGAAACAAAGTTTTAAATAAACAAATTGTGAATGTGAAGTTGCCATGTAATATGTTGTGTCTTCAAAAAGTGTACTTCATTTTAACGTCTCTGTTTATGTTCCCATCTACAAGTATCCATCACTTTGCTAAGAGTGTGAACTATGTAAACAGAATTATTTGCTTAGTTCACAGTTTTGCAAAAGTCATTATGTTTCCTTCCTCAGTTAGCAATTTGCACACACGGTGTTTAATGCTCCCAGATCCTTCTTCTGTGTTTCCCTTCTTCTACCACAATTCTGTTATTTCACGATGAGGCTAAACTGTCCCAGAGTAATGCCACAGGAAACACAGTCAGTGTTGCTCAGTGAACAGTGACAGAAAGTGTGAACGAGGCCGACTTGTTCTTATTATATGATGAAATAACCACAGACAGAAACAATACCTGATTTTTTTTTAAAGACTAACCGCATGCTCGCATACAGACAACTCTACTGACCAGTGAGCACATGTGCCCCAGCTGTATGACTCCTACACATTTTTACTCTCTAGCTTTTAATTGTGTTTTGTTTCAGTCTTTGTGTGTGTTTGATCTACTTTTTAGTTTTTTACTATGTACAGCACTTTGGTCAACCTGAATGTGCTTATAAATAAATTGATTGATTGATTGACTCCTCTGCCTTTTCTGCCATCTTTTGTAAGCTGCATGTCTATTTTTCTCTCTCTGTTCCTAGAAGTATATTTTGACTTGATAGACAATAAATACTTTCTTCTGTAAACTGTTTCAGTTTTGTAAACACAGGCGGGTTGTCTTTTCACTAAAGGGCTGACTGTGAGAAGTAAAGCTGATTGGTAGGTGTTGATCGGTCATGTGTTTACCATCCAACATGCCTGTTTCAGAATTAAGGGGATTTTTGAGTTTGCTTGAAAAAGTCCAGCTTTATTTAAACTTTAAACCTATATTCATTTGAACTGTTTATTTTTACCACAGCGCAAACATCTAGCCAAAATTGGTTGCAGACCACATATTCAGACATGTAGTATTCCTGTCTAACACATAGTACACAATGTTGACTTTTATATTTAGTGCTGTCACAAAAGATGTCTTGAAAAATGTCATGTACTTGTTAGATTTTCACCAACTTCTGAGGGGACTAACTGACCCTTTTGCCTTTTATGTCACATTATCATTACTGAGCAGCTTGTGGAAGTAATGTTCATTTCATTCAAATGCTACTGACCAACTTTTGACTTGGTCAGCACACGAATTCGTTTTTTGATATTCCTCACAACCGAAGACCAGGGACATTCAGTTTTGACAAAAGAGGTCAGAGTTGCAACACTTGGGTGATATAACAGGATGTTCGACACATCACTGGTTTCATCTTAACAAAAGAAGAGTTTTGCCACATGTTGTGAGAGCTCAACACAGACAGGTTCGAAAGTGGTAAGCACAGAAAGCGTGAAACTGTGATGCAAAAAAACCCCCCAAAAAACCAGCAACAACAACAAAAAGTTGACTAAAAGAAGCAACAAATGCTGCAGTGGGCGATAACTCTTATTGTGTTTGTTTATGAAGCAGTGCTATAGAGCATTGAACAAGCATATTGGCATATTAGCAACATGTGTGCATAACTTTATATAGGAAATAAACATAGACTGTATATGAGGAAGGGACAGCGTGTTGCCACGTGGAGGTTGGGGGTTCGAATCCACAGAACGGCTACCCTGAAGTACCCCTGAGCAAGGCACTGTCCCTACACACTGCTCCCAGGGGCACCTGATTGGTGGCTGCCCACTGCTTCACTGAGTGAATGGGTTAGATGCAGAGAGAGTAATTTCCCCAGGGGGATCAATAAAGTATACATCATTATTATTATTATTATATAAAAATCGCAGCACCATTGTGATGTCACCCTCTCTGCACTGAATCATACTTGTTATTAATCTCTGTCTCTCTTCCACAGCATGTCTTCTATCCGGTCTTCCTTCTCTCACCCCAACCGGTCACGGCAGATGGGCCCGCCCCTCCCTGAGCCTGGTTCTGCTGGAGGTTTCTTTTGGTTAAAAGAGACATTTTCCTTCCCACTGTCACCGAATTGCTTGCTCATAGGGGGTCATGTGATTGTTGGATTTTTCTCTATATATTATTGTAGGGTCTACCTTACAATATAAAGCACCTTAGTGTGACTGTTGTTGTTATTTGAGGCTATATAAATAAAACTGATTGAATTGAATTGAATTGAATTGAATTGTCAAGTCTTATTCTAAAGCCTTAAGCTGACCATGTGGCCACCTTGGCCCGCTAAAACTAGATGTCATTGTGCATATGACTCAAACCTCAGTGACTCTTGTCTTACATCAGCTACTTATCAGTCACAGGGCAGCCATCCTGGACTCTGCACTATTATTCATTTGGCTTTAATAGGGGCCAAATTTTTGAAAATGTGAACATCAAACTCTATTCGGTAAAATCTGAAGCCAGCAGTTTCGCCGACAAACACACCAGGAAAGTGTTCACTGGGATTATAAATCAAGTGAACAATACAAACACATTTTCTCATAGGTTTCTTTAAAATCGCATGTCTTTCTGCAGCCAGATGCGTCACCCTGTGTTAGGTGTCTTTACTTTTCAGACCTGTACTCTATTAACAACTTTTATACACAATCTATGGATATATTTAGTTGATGATTGTTTTGTACGTTTTAGATGTATTTATCTTAATAAAAACATGAGCTCATTAAAGAATATTGTAAGGCATCTGTACAAAGATGACATAAAATAGAGTCAAGTGAACTTCTGAAATCAGCCTACATTACATGAGCCATCACTTCTGGTGGTACACCAGAAGTGATGGCTCATGTAATGTAGGCTGATTTCAGAAGACAAACCAGAAGAACTAACAAGAACGTCATGCTCTGATACATCTGCGGTTTATTCAAACAAGACTTGAAGATTCCTCTTACGGGGAGGCATGTTGTCTGTGATCTTTGCATATTACTGCTGACATATGCAACGGTCTGATTGAACAGCGATACTGGATTCAGGTTCAGGGTTTCTGAGGATGTGGCGGTTTTTCTGGAGGTTTTTACTCGACGCCAACCAGTCTGATAAGCACAGCCATTCAATAAAAGCGAATTACCTCAAGAAAGATCTACTTAGAGTTCAGCTAAGCTTCATTTATATAGCACGTGTTCGCAAAAACAGTCACCTCAAGCTGATTCATAATGTAAGCTAAAAACAAAACAAAAAAAACCCGGACAATCTGAAAACATAACCAAGCACTTAGCGATATAGTGGGGAACAAGAACTCCTTCAACACCAAGAGGCAACTGGTAGAACCTGTGTAACGATCTGCCGCCACTGAGGGAAAGGACCATAGAGAACAACATTCAAGAAACAGAAACTGGGGGAGAAGCACATCAGGAAGGTGCCAATCACTGTTTGACAGGGTTATGTTACCACTGTAAGCTAGAATGAACCTAAATAACTTTTAAAAAGAAAAAAAGTAATAATATTATATTTTCGAGGTGACAAACTTGGTTAATACCATGCTGGATGGATTAAAATGTTCTCTAATTCTTGAGTTTTTAATTTTTTCTCTTTTTTGCCCATGTCTCATAAAATTAAGAAATTTGTTTTATGTACCCTGAACTTTCCCTTCGCACACTCTTCGTCACTTCGTTACACACACACACACACACACACACACACGCACACACACACAATGTAAAGTCATTTTAAAACTTACCAAGCAGAAGTAGTCCTTTCCCAAATCCCATGCTGAATAGGAAAAACAGTTCCACACAGAAGTTTGTTTCTGAACTATCGCGACTATGAATGAAGTGGAAATCTGGTGGCTGTCCGCTCACAAAGGTTCAAGAAAAAAATTTCAGGTCCATAAAAATCGAAAAAGTATTTGAGTGACAAAACAAACACTGATCACTGAAAAGAGACGTCCTTTTCGTACAAGTTATTTTTACTTGTGACAGGAAAAACAAGAATGAACCTTCACCAGCTTTCTTCCTCTCTCAGATTCAGACTTTCAGCCTGGGCATGTCTCGCGCTCGACTCCCCACCCCTCGCTCTCTCGCGCGCGCGAGACCTCTCTATCTCAGTCTCTCTCTCTCTCTCACACACACACACACAGACTCTCTCTCTCTCCCTCCTTTCTTTCTTTTCATTTATCAGCGTGGCCCTGTCTCCCTCACACTGCTCTTTCTTGCACTTCTCTTTGACTCTGTGTCTTTCCACATGAATACGTTTCTCACACTGGCACATATCACATTGCTTGCACACACAACCCCCCTCTGTCTACACCAGCTTTCACATTCCCCCCTCTATTGGCCTCTATTTCAGGAGCTATTCACATGAGAGACAGAAAAAGGGGGGGGGGACTGAGGAGAGGGCGATGACTAACACTCAGCCTAAACAGCTGCTGCTGTACTTGAGTCTTGCCCGTAAGTAATCTTATATCCTTTCCCATTCTCCTCCAAGTCCTACTCTGCTCTTCTTCTACATTTTCTTCGTTGCCTGCTCAGCATTTAGCCCTTCACCCAGTTCCACTGACAAACCCTCTGCATTTTCTCAACCCCCAGGCTGCGAGAAAACAGACTGGAGACAGATAGAGTGACCTCTGTTAAAATGAAATCCACCACACAAGCATAATGCTGTGGTTCACAGAAAACAGCAGGGGTTTGACAACAGCTTTATATTTGATAAAGAAATAAATGCTTTTGTTGTTAGAATTAGTTTCTTACAGCTGAGGGCCCTTGCAAAGGTTACACCCTCTCTCGTCACTTCATTTCATCCAGGCTTGGTTATAGCCTTTATTTGGGCATCAGCCAGGCTCTGCTTTCCCATCTGCAACTTGTCCAAAATGCAGCAGCTCGACTCCTAACGGGCACACACAAACAAGACCATATTTCCTTAGTTTTGGCTTCCAGGCACTGGCTCACAGTGTGTTTTACGATTAGATTTTAAGTTTTTGCTTGTGTTTTAATCTTTAAACGGGTTAGCAGCTTCTTATCATTCTGATCTGTTAACTATGTACACATCTCAAAAGATTACTGAGCTCAGCTCACCAGATGTTTCTGGTTATGGAGAAGCAGATTAAGGCACAGAGGAGATCAAGCCTTTGTTGTAGCTGCCCCTAAACTTTAAAACAGTCTGGTCTTTCACATCACGACTTAAGCAACACTCGACATCTTCATAGCCTGCTTGAAAATTCATTTTTATTCCTTGGCATTGAAACCAGACTTGACATTTGTTTGTTTTCTGTTTGTTTTTCTTGCTTTTATTGTTTTAGTTGTACAAAACTTTGGTCAGTGTTTATTGTTTTTCAAACATTTTTGTAAAAAAAAAAAAGACTTGGCATTAAAATCTATCATGTAAAGATATAACTTCTTTAACTAGAAAACAAGTGGGTGCCAATCTTTTGTAGCTCTATATGTGCTCTATATCTTCATTAGTAATACAGGATCATTATATAAATACAGGTTCCGCCTTTAACAAGACTCAGAATCACATACTAAGACTATTAGGGTTACTGAAGTGTAATCAGCTTCCAGCTTCCAGACACATGACCGTGATCAAGAAACTGATTTTTGTTAAATCAGTTTTATGATCATGTTTTGAAAATGTGTGGAAATGCTAAAAATAATGCACACTCATCCTTATATCTATATTATTGCTTTTAATATCTTCCCATACACACTGCTTAGCAAATACATTCTGAACCATGACAAGTTACACACTGACACTTAGTCAGGGAATCATTATTGTCATATTGTAAAGGTATATCCCTTTAGCTTTATTTTCCGATGCATTGACGGCAAATATGAAGACATAAACCTTCAAAAGTTTGCCATAGGTAACAGCTGGGGTGGAAAACAGCAGACCACAAGATTATGCAACCAGTCTTACTTTTTTTCCCATTTCATTTTACTTTCTTTTTGACTCTACTGCAGCTCTATAATTAGGTTTGGGCTTTTGTTAGGTATAGAATTGAGTGATTACATTTAGCCACCAAACCATGAGTTTATAGGTTTAAGGGAAAGAACATTAAAATACACACTTTCAAATTAAACCTTAAACCTTTGCAAACGTTTACCATCTGCAACACACTTCTTTGATTTTACCTTGGTTACCCAGGTTTACACATCCTTGGTTACCATGGGTACACGTTCTGCAACCATAACAACACCTGTGGAGCCTTTTAACCCACAGTGTCTGCGCACGGTTTTCTGATTTCAGTGATCTCTGGTTTGGTCCTATTGAAGTGCCTTGAAGATTGAAAAATACAAACTACAACTACGGTTACCTGCTGCTTCATGACAAGCTTGTGGGTCTTTACTAAGCCTCAGTGGGTGAGGAGTTAGAATTGAGAACAGGTTTGCTTCAGCATGTTGACATGTGTGTAGTTTCTAAATCCTATGAGATATTCACAGTTAGGCAGGGCAGTGGTACAAATTCTCATATCATTTTCATTGTATTGCTTATTTAAGAATAAACATAAATAATTATGTTCCATGTCTATGTTTCCACACATATGATAAAGTAGTAATTAATATATATTGACATATTATTGCACGAGTACTCAGTTCTCATAGCTTGCATGATACCTGCAATTTTGATTATATAGTTAGTGCTTTGCACATGAGCAGCGAACTCCATTTTTTATCAGTAACACATTTATCAAGACTTATCAAGCCACATTACTCAATTGGGGTAATGTGGTAATTACTTGTTTTGTTTTGTTTTATATACGTAGATTAGTCTGTCACACAAACATACACTCTCACTCGCAATGATACATGAGGGGACTTTTTTGAGGTTATCTTTTCCCCGTATGTTCCCCGGGTGTAACATCATTACCTTGAAAGAAAAAAAAAACCACTCCGACAGAAAAATATATTGCCACCAGTCAGCACCCAATGAGGTACACAAAGGACACTTGTGATGACAACACAGAACATCTCACTAAGTTGCACATATACAAAAGCTGTGACAGAGATGTGAAAACCCACAGTCGAAAAGGGGGAAAGAAAGATTTAGATGTGTACTGCAAATAGAGATTGTTTTCATGGTTACTGGGCAGTTAACAGAAACAGTGTCCACCACTGATGGAAGTCTCTCAGTGTGCAGCACAGATAGCAGTCGTAGATAACCAGTTACCTCTTCCTGTTACGTGCAGCGACAAGTGCACTTTCCATGACGAGATAGTTGAAAAATCTCTGCTTGATTCACAGTGAACGTAAATCTCATTGATGTGACCTGTTTTCCTGCCTTTGGTCTTTTGTTCTCTTACTGTCACGGTCTTCTGAAGCATCATCTTGACTCTGCATCTTCATATTTTCTCATATTCTCACAGACAAATGAGGAGACACATGGAGACAGACAAATCACACACACATGTAGGCAGGAAGAGGATGAGAGAATCCAAGTTCATGTCCCTTCAGCATCTAGAGTAAACAAAAGTTTAAGTAAAAGCAGATGCGATGTGAGTTTTTCTGTGTGCACAGGGTGAATGTGTGTAGGCAGGGTGCACTGACCTATTTAAAAGTTTTCTGTTCATTCATGTCTGTGCCTCACAGACATGAAAGAAGAGTGTCAGCCTATGACAATCAGTTGCAACTTCATCTGCAGCTGTATTATTATATACTTTAGTGCTAACATATGGCAAGATCCACTTATTGTGTGTGTGTGTGTGTGTGTGTGTGTGTGTGTGTGTGTGTGTTAGTGTGTGTTGTGTGTGTGTGTGTGTGTGTGTGTGTGTGTGTGTGTGTGTGTGTGTGTGTGTGTGTGTGTTGTGTGAGGTGTGTGTGGTTTTGTGTGTACGGTGTGAGGTGTTGTGCACTTTGCCGTTACGCCTTACAAGAACATTAATCCCAAATGCACTTATTGGATGTCTGCCCATTGTAGCCATCAGTCATTCCAAAAGAGAAACTCTATGGGAAAAATGCAATCTGTCAGAGGGAGAGAGTTTTTTAAACAAGACGAGCAAATAGCAATGATCAAATGACAGCTCTGAGTAAGCTATGTGGTCACAGCAAGTGGTTAGTGGATTCCTTTGGTTGCTTTTAGTGTGTGGCACATTTTCATTAGACCAAAAAAGTGGAAAATGAAACCGTCCCCTGATCAACTATCTGTACTTCTTAAGTATATACAAAAGTTTAAAAACTGCTGATTCATACAAATCTAATGCATCCATCTGTAGGCAGTTACCTCATGTAACAGACGCTGTGCAGAAGCGTTTATTTATAACTCCATAGCTATGAGTTTAGGTGTCGCTTTTGAGCATTGTGTGTCTTTTATGACTTTTTGAAGGAAGTTAGACATATAAATATGTTAAATATTAATGAAATAGAGATAAACAAGTTGGTCATAACTTCTCACTAATACTGTAAAAGAGGAAGATTTTGTTATTTTGAAAACGGCTTCAGTTCAGCCTGTGAAAACAGCAGGCTTCAAATATAACATTGGCTTGAGAAGCAATAATTGTAAGAGTAAAAGTGGAGGTTTTAATTGCGCTGGCCATTTACAAAAAAGAAGCACTTTTAGTTGTTTTATGAGAACTGTAACTAAAAATAACTGTTAAAATAAGTGATCGGTGACTTGTTTTTAGAAGGACTTTGCTGGAAGTCAGAATCCCACTGTTTTTTGAGAAATTCTGAGATTAATATTTCTTTTTACAATAATAAATATCCCTGAACTATCCCTTAGTTATGCTGCTATAGCCGTGGGCTGCTCGGGAACTTCAGTTATACACTTCCAACTAACTCTTCTTTCCCCCAGAGTCTATGTTTCATGCTTGTTTCTCCATAGTTTCCTCTTTCCTCTTCTCTTTGCCCTCATCCCCCAGAGATGGCTGCCTGTGACAAGGACCTTGACGCACACATAGGCAGCACTGCAGGGTGAGCATCCATGTATTTAGAATACCAAGACACAAAAACACTAAATCACACTCTCACGCTTCCGTAATTTTTCAGTCTCCAGTTCAGTTCAGCTCTCCTCATCTGGTCTGAACTGGCTACTAAAATAGGGAGCACATTATTAGACAATCAGTCCCAGCTTCTCTGCCAGCCACCCTAGCACTGCCCCGGGGCAGAGACTTCTGTAACAGGGTTTGTGCTTGATCATATCAGATGATATACTTGTTGGGGTTTTCTCGCCTTATCTTGCAAAATCAAGCACCTTCAGGCAACTACTGTTGTGAATTGGAGCTATAAAAATATACTGAACTG